ATGAACAAACTGAACTAACAAGCAAAATAGAGACAGACTCATAGATGGAGAGCAGATGACAGCTACGGGAGGGGGGATGAAGCAAAGGGGTGGAAGGATTGAGCAAAAAGGAGAAAGCACTCATGGACATGGACCACTCACTGTGGTGATTGCAGGGGAGGAGGGAGGAGGTATTAGGGGGCTGAATGGTAATGGGAAAAAATAAAATTAAAATAAAAAAAAAGTTCTCAGGAGTTTCCTGGGTGAAATTCGAAACTGGCCCCTATATGCTGTATGCAAGGAAAGACCAAAGAAAGTAGTAGATCATCCCAGATTGGTAGTTTGCAGGTTAAATAAACAAGGGACCCTAACTGGGTTCAGTCATGTCAACAACACATTGATCTCTCAAGGCTGTGTCCTTGAAAATGGCTTTGGCTATTGGAATGGTGGGCATAACGTCCAGCTTAGGGGTCAAATGGCAGTCACACCCTCTCAATGACTTCCCTCAACATGATTTCCACAAATTCCTCAGTCCAGCCCTGTGTGGCTGCTCCTTCTATCTGCTATTCTTATATTCTTTAGAGTTCCTTTAATTTTTTATTAGTCTATCCCTCATTACTCCAATTCCCTGCTATAGTTCATGATTCTTTATATTCAAATTTCCTGTTCAGATTGCTGTAATTTCTCTTTCCTGAATAGACAGTTATCAATGCCAATAGAGACTTCTTTTTTAAAATTTTTAAAGATTTTGTTTATTTATTTTTAGGGAAGGGGAAGGGAGGGAGAGGAGAGGGAGAAAAACATTGATTGGTTGCCTCTTGCACACCCCTATCAGGGTACCTGGCCTGCAACCCAAGCATGTGCCCTGACTGAGAATTAAACCAGTGACCTTTTGGTTTGTAAGTTGATGCCCAACCCTCTGAGCTACACCAGTCAGGGCTATAGATTTCTAAACACATATTTTAAAGTCTTTTCCATACAAAAAGTTGAAATCTTCTTGTGCTGATTTATTTGCAAGTGAGAGCACTAAGAGTAGCAGGTATTCATGGGATGCTTGTTACTCCTCTCAGGCTCTCTCCAAACATTTCCACTTTAATAGATTAGAATGGGGCAAGCAGGGCCCCAATAATAAGGAAACTTTGCATAGAGATCTGACATAGATATTTGGATAGAAATTTGCTTGGAACTATCTTGAGCTTCCTCTTTCTGGTTCAGGTATAGGTTTAAAGTCCTATACTATGAGCCATGGCTCCACCTGACAGAATCCCTGTCAGAGTGTTTTGTCTCTGTTGAATTTTATGGGATGAATTTTTGAATGAGGGATGTTATATTTAACCAAATTATTATATAAAGGTAAAACAATATTATAGTAAGATATGCAATTATAAGTGTAACTTTCTGGAAAAAAGAAGGAAAACTGTAATTTATCCTAGAACAAAAAACAACCAAAAATAATGAATGGAAAAAATAAGGAATATAAGGATTGGTAGTGAGCACTGGCATTTAAACACATAACTAAATTTAAATGAGTCTAGTATATGTATTTATTTGTTCCATACAAGTTTATTGAGAGTCTGTGATGTCAGTTCTTCCAAATCAATTTATAAATTTAATGAAGTTTCAGTTAAAATGTTAATAGAATTCTCTCATGTTTAGCCTAAATAGATCCATTAGAGCATATGTGAAAAATAGTTTAAAATTTTGAAAAATAAAATTCATAAATGAGAAATCATTTTACAAGTCACCAAAATTTATTATGATAGTGCAATAATTAAGACCACATGGTACCAGCACAAGATAAACATGGTAGTGGAACACAGTGGGGAGCCAGGGAACAGTCTAGACATGCAGAAGAATGGTGTGAAAAGTAGTGACTCTAACTCATTGTATGGAAAGAACTGAGATCGATCCAGGGCAGACAGGGAAGGTAAAATATGAAACAGCGAGCTTACACCATATACATGACTAAACTCCAGATGACCAAAGGAATGACAACCAAGAAATCCTATAAACATTCTAGAAGAAAACATATAAGATTATTTGTATGGAATTGTAATAAGGATAACATTTATGAGCAAGACCCAAAGGCAGAAGTAATAACAAAAAAATAACTATGCACAAAGTCACAACTGCTGTATGACAACATGTATGTAACAAAATTAAAAGAAAATAAAGACTGAAAGAACATCTGCCACATGCATGAGAGAAATACATATGATACAGAATTCAATTAGCTTATAAATCAGTGCAGAAAGAGAATATAATAAGATCACATGAAATATATGTTTAAAAATAAATCACACATGAAGACAAACCAATGGCTAATAAAGGTGGTGAAATGATTATCAGTCACTAGGGAAATGCAAGTTAAAACAAGACGACATTCTGAACCAATGAATTGGCTGGAAACTATTAAAAAATGATAGTAGCCAGTATTAGCAAGAGTGAAAGACAATTGTAAAGATGGATGTAGCAGTAACTATCAAAGCAAAGATTTTACATACCTTTCAAGAACATAATTCCACTGCTAGCAATCTATTTAATGCAAAAATGTACAAGATATTTATGCCATGGTGTTCACTGATCCAAATATGTTTATTAGCTAAAACTGGAAGAGTACATTTAATTGCACAACAATGGAGAAAGAGTTAAGTAAATCATGATGGTGCAATGATACTCCATTGACTTTTCCCTCAGATACATTCTGCCCTTTCTCCTTCCTTGCTGTGTATCTCCAAGGAATGGCCCCTCAGTCTTCTTTTCCTTGGCTCCTCTCTCAACTGGCTCTGGACTCATTTAGGCCAATGAAAAGTGCTGCTGAGAGACTGGTTGGCAGGGAGAAGCCACAGAAGTTTTTTCCATTCCCTCTCTGCTTCTTCTGGACAGGACCGTTGTGGCTCTCACTTTCTCTTGGTGGCCCAGCCCAGCAGCTCTACTCACACAGCCTTCTCCTTTTGTCCCTATAGCTTAAGGATGCAAGGGGCTTCCTATTGATATTAATCTCTAGATTGCCTCTTTGTTCCCACTTGGCTTCTTACCTCTTCCATAATCTCTGTAATTAATCCTTTGTATTCAAGTTCCGCTCCTTTAAATACTTGAAATGATTTTTTTTCCTTCTGGAACACACAAACACACCTCTGCAGCCACTAAAAAAAATGCTATACAACCATAAACTAAGTGGAAGAATGTTGCTGATAAATTGTTGACTCCAAGAAGGAAAGTTGCTCTATCTTATATTTAAAATGGTCTGTTAGAAAAAGAAAATTAAACAATGTGTGCATGTTAAAAGGTATTTACATGATGGTAATAATAATGATCATAACAACCTTTGTAAGAAAAACCGGTATGGCAAAATACCCACTAGGACAAGGCGATCTTACGAAGTTGCTGGGAGGGGGACATGTGTGTTGAGGGGAAGGGGTGCTCTTTGTATGCAAATTTTTACTTTGCATACAGCATTGTTGTCTGCATTTTTTTCCTCCAGAAATGCATTACATTTGTAATTTCAAAAAAATTTGTAAAGCAGATCATGAAACACTGTGCCCAATCTGATCACTTTTCTTAAATATGTATGTCCATATCTATTTATTTGCTGTGGGAACTATCTGAAAGTACCGTTTCTACAATATTTTAAAAGTGCAAATTTGTTTCAAACAGGATTAATATATTAGGGGAAAACTGGAGCCTGCCATCTATACTTACATGTGATTTTGTTAGTGAGAGGTGCCAGGTGAATGTTAAAGGTTGCCCTCACCTGAGCCTAAAGGTCTAGGAACACACAAAATGCACACACGTGCATATGTCTTAAACATCAATCGATGTTCTCAGTTCACCAGTGAGGTATGAGTCACAGTGTCCCTATCTGCTTTTACGACTTATCTGACTTCAGATAAGCCTCCTTCCAATACTCCACAACAACTTACCATCTGTACCTCTTCCAATGCCCACTGCAACTCTTTTTCAAGACAAAGCAGCGTATTTATTGCAGCATGAATAGATTTCTTCGGGTAACAATGCATGCATAAAAATGCGCTACCCCTTTTATTAGGTTCTGATTTTTTCCTCCTCATGGTTCATTACAAAGTTTTCGAGTATTATATGCTAATCCCAGTTTTTCATGAACCCAATGGTTTTTATTGCACGATTTCACAAAATATAGTAATTTTTAGCAACACATAAGTCACATGATAGCAGAACTAACAATTACTCTGGGTAGTAATTTATTTGTTGTTTATCTATGGTTTCTAATTTTTTTCCTATAACAATAATATATTAATAATTTAACTAAATCCACATAAACATTTTTTAAAATAAAAGATAAGGTGGTAGCCAAAGGATGATTTCAACTATTATAGGTGAATGCTTGAAGCTATTGGGGGAAGCTCCACTCACTCACTAGCGGTGCAATCAAGTTCCCGCTAGCCTACCTCCAAGAAAAAAGTCAATTGAAGTTCCTCCTGGAAAACAGAAATAAGGTCTCACAGCCACAACTTGGGGGCTTTTTCAATCAGATAGTTCCTATAACTTTTAACAGTCAGATGTCACTAGTCAAGGTTCCATTAAACATAAACCAAATGCCTCTAAACTGGTTTGCAAACCCTCCAAAGCTAACCTGATACAGATCCAGAAATATACCAGTGTAATACATTCAGTGCTAATTAACTTTCAAGCTTAGTCTTGTTAAATGAGATTAGAGCACCCCATCCTTTCAGGAAATAATGACTCTGAGGGGAGATTTGAACGTCATGTGAATTTCAAACAGGAGGGAAAAAAATGAATATTCTACAGGTGATTTGCGTCTTGAATCCCTGCCCACTTTTTCAGATTGAAATTTCACCTGTTAACGCTTTTTTCCTTCCCTTTTCCAAGGAGGTATCATGTGTATTTCTTTTACTCCACCTACAGCCAAACCCCGATGTTTATCTTTGATTTGGGCAGGGTTGCCCTCCTCCCTCCCCCACATTCCTGGCTTCTGGAACAGCTCCCACTGAACTGAACTTTGAACTCATTCTTGATCCCAGTACTTTCCTGTCTCTGCATAGAATCTGCTGTTGGCCATACTCTCTTTGAAACTTTGTTTCTAGCGTTCTCTGACAAAGGGCTTGTTCTGTGAAGCACATCTTGTCCTCTTTGTCCAGCCTCTGGCTTCAACAGTGAATTACAAATATTCTCCAGCTGGGAATCAGACCAGGGCAAAGATGAAGAACCCAGAAGCCCAGCAGGATGTTTCAGCTTTCCAGGGAATTCGCATGATGTTTGACATGATGAAGCCCCATGAAACGTCATTCCAAACCCTAGAAGAGGTGCCCGATTATGTAAAAAAGGTGAGACTATCTGGGAGGGGGCTGCTCTTGCTCTTTCTTAATAAGAAGTTAAACACATCTTGGGGTTTTGTTTACTTTCATTCTTCAGATTATGAACTTCTAATGAAAATAATTCACTTTCATAAAGACTCAGAACAAAAGTTGAATTTCTATTTGAACTGAATTTCCATACACTATCCATAACTATCTTCTCTTATCAAACTCCCTTCCCCTAATATGTCACTCCAGAATATGACAAAACCTTTAAAAGTTTTTCTGGACACAGTGACATTACACTTCAGCTGACAAAAGCTGACATCAGTAAACTTTGTAACAAATGTTTTTTAAAGGGTAAACTTGTCTACTACCTCCCAGGAAACTATTTCCTCTTTAATTTGGTGGCATAGTTCTGCAGAATGGATACACAGCTCACTGAGTCCAATTCTGACTTCCTAACTTTGAACTTGAACCAAGTTTTATTTGACTCTGAAGTGTTTAGAGGCACTTTTCACTTTTGGTTCCTGGCTATGATTAGAAATGGAAATATCCAGAATTAGAACTTGAATATTGAAGTTCCCCACCCTGTCAAAGTTGTTCCTATAACACTTACTAGTTCAGACAAGAAATAGAAAAAAAAAATGACATCAGAGAATATGTTCTTGGGCGTTCAGTTTTAAAAACTTTAAAACTCATGATCAGCTTCCAAATGAGTAAAACCCATAACTTTTTTTTTCAGGATTTCATACTACTCCTACTTTCTGATTTTTTAAGAAAAAAATGTGGTATTTACATCTTTGTAAATCATCATTTTTTATATTGTAACACCACATCTAGTCCAATATTTGGTCATTGATAGTGGAGCCTAAAAACCCTGTTATATGAAACAAAATTATATCTGAATGAATAAAACTTGAATGATGTTTCAAACATTTGAAATGGCCTTATTCTTTGAAATACTCAGAAAAATCCTTTTTGTTCTTACAGATTCAATTTTGTCATTCCAGTAATGCTAATATGAAAAACTAGAATTATGTACATCCATAAGGAATACCTTTTAAAGATAATCTAGTTCAGTCATATGTATATAGTAGACTTTTGGTTATTGCACTTATGTTAAAATATATTTTTTAGATCTAACTGGTAACATGTCCCTTCTAATCTTATTTTCTGGGTGCAATATCATCATATCTCTTTGTATTTTATTTCCAAATTGGTTGATAGAATTGGAGCACCTGTTTAATATATGTCTGAAATAATCAAATTTATTTGTTAGGAGAAAATGCCCCTTTGAGAAAGGTGTCTATCCTCTCTTTCTATGAGATGTCACTCTATATATCCTGCTACTAGAATGATTAATTAGGAAATGTGGGAGAATTTCATACCAAGCACAATAGCAGCTCTTCTCTGCAATTTCCTTTCTAGGCAACTCCATTTTTCACTTCATTGCTGCTGCTTGAACTAGTTGTCAGCTGTATTAGCAAAGGGAAGCTACCAGGCCATTTGGATGATGCATTAACATCGATATCAGCTGGCGTTCTGTCCCGGCTTCCAAGGTGAGTTAGTTGGTTAGCAACACTGAAGGCATTGACAGAGATCCTCAAATATGATGGAAAAGGAATTTATTTTCACACACGTGTCCAAAGAATTCAGTTACTTTCATTATTTAGAATCTTGATATTTTGTTCATTGTGGATTTTTCTTTCTACTCATTAAAAAATACTGCTCTAAATATTATTTATCTTGTTTACTGAGCTAAGTGGTGCCCCCTTAAATTTTGTGTCTGAAGAGTGTGCTTCATTTGCCTGACCTTAGTCCCAGCCCTGAGTTATGGTCTAATTATCTATTGGAAAATTGGTTTTGCTTCAGGAAAACTCACATAAAATAGCTATCTGCTGTGCAGACATTCCCTAGTCAAAAATCCCATAAAACTGGGCCACTACAGTGGTCTCCTGAGTTGAATCCCTGTCCATAGGCCTACCTCATTTGTGGCCAAATGTTTCCATAATGTGAATCTGGTGAGAACTCTTTACAGGTTCCATATTGCCTGAACATAATGCATGAATTCCTTTCCTGAACTATGGAAGCTTTGGTCTATCCATCTTTGCTTCTGGTCCCTTTATTGCTGTTCCTTCGTTTGCAATATTTGTTCCTTCCATGATGCATTTCTTTCCATTGCCCAGAAGTCATATGTGTGTTCCTCTGCTTGTAAGCCACCCACATGGCAAACTCTGATTCATTTCTTAAGTCTAGGCATAGACTTCTCTTGAAGAATCATAATCTTCAGCAAATTATATTTGATTTCTAACCCTGTGTTAGATACCACTTCATACGGTCCCATGGAACCTGGTGCTTACCCTGGATATAGAATTGTTTCATGGTATCGTCTCACCTGCTTTCTTCGCAGCCTTTCCTGCTAGCTTGCATGTAACTTGAGAGAAGGAGGTGTTCTTGTTTCTCCATAGTATTAACTCCTATGTGTGGAATAATGTTTGGTACATGGCAGTTTTTTCTTTCTCATTTAATATTCTCATAGTATTATGTTAATGGCAAAATTAGATAATGAGGAAACCAAACAACACTAAACAGTAAATGACCTATGTGGGGAGAAGCATAGTTTCCTTTATCCTCAAGGGTCTTCTAGTTGGTCTAGTAATAAAGTAGACAGGAGACAAATTAACAAGAGAAAAATAAAAGCAAATTTGATGCATACATGTTTATGGTAACACTTCATGCATGAGAGAGTCAGAGAACCATGTGCAGGGGAGGTTCAGAGACAGAAAGGGGACGTGAGTGTGTAAGACATCCTGAGCTAGGTGAGGTGTGGTGCCTTCGGGGCTTCCGAAGGTCATTGGAGGATAGCAAGAAGAGCAGACCTTAGTAAACAGAAGTTTACCCTGCTCTATAGGCCCAAAGATGTTATCTCTGATCACGTCTTATGGTCCAGGCATCAAACTCAAATTCTCCTACGCAGTTAAGGGGCAGGGGAGAAATTTCTCTTGAGCTTGCAGCTAAAGTTAGCTTTGACTCAAAACAATCTGCATACCACAGAGGCACACTTGGGTGACTTGTTCTGGACCCCCACACCTACTACTTTTTACAAAGAGTAATAATGTGTGTAGAGGAGAAACCCAGCAGGATTTACCAAAGAGGCAAAGAGTGAGGGAAGATTCCCAGAGAAGTACTTGCCTTCCTTTATGTTGCTGATGAATGCCCTCATTCCTGCTTCCCACCCATTGCTTCTTTTACTGTTTTAAGAGCTTACTTCTGACCAGTGCTCATTACTTAGGAATGTTTCTATGCACCGCCCAGTGGGAAACCAAGGTGGATTTTTAAAAAAAAGAAAATAAGATAAAAACTTAAGAATATCTGAGAAAGGGTGAAATAATTTTATACAATTGCATAAAATTGTTTAGATAGGAAATAAACCTAAAAGTAAAATTTCTTTCATAAATGACACTATGAAAAAGATAGGTTAATGGGAACAAAATAATAGTAATGACATAATCATTATAATTACTCTCTGAAAAACTACTTGAATGGTTGCACATTGTTGTCAGAATTGGAGGCTAATCTCAAGTTATTTGCAGTTAATTCCCAGAATATACTAAATAAGAATTTACAATTATACATAATATCCTCTATTTCGTGTCTCCCTTGAACAAAATTGAACAAGAAAATGTCTAACATACTCAAAGGATATGTAGGTTTGGTTATTGAAAATTACCTACTTGGTTACTGTAGTTCATTCTAAAAAAGTTAAGTATATAGGTTTATGGAAATCAGACAACTGATGAACTGTAAAAATAGCTTGGTGACGGAGAAGTGCCCTGCAGGTGCAAATATGGATCACATATTCTGTTGAGTTGAAATGAATTTATTAAACACTCCAGGAGACATCAAGTTGAATGAATGCTTCAGAATTTCTTTTCCTCTTTCAAGTTTGACTTTGGTCAAAGTGAAATTTGATTGTTCTTTTATCATAACACTGTATCTACTGGAAAACTGCATCTTCAGTACTACAGTTCTCAGCAGGGTGGATTTAAAAATGGTACAGGGTAATAACAGGATATGCAAGAATCAGAAATATAGTTTTGCGGAAAACAAACCCCAAAAGCATAAGGAAGCTTGGAAGAAGGAGAGAAAGATGCAATTCTTTTCCTTCACATTCCACTATCATAACACTCCTTAAGCTAACACAAGCTGTTAACTCTGGTGCCCTTTGAAAGAAAGGTAAAAGGTTGTGAACTTGAATTTGGAGCATATTTTTCTATGGTTGTATTTTGAATCAGAACCGCAAATGGTTTTTTTGTGGGTTATTTTTTTTCCTGGTAGGTATGAACAACAATTCTAAATTATGATATGTGGATAAATTAAAATTTTCAATTGATTTCAGCTTTAGAGCCATTTATCTAAAAAAAGTCTCAGCAAAGCAAATTATCTGAAGATATAATTTTTAAATTTTTTTGTTTATTTTGTTGCTATTAAAAAAACAGATGTAAACAGAGAAGGAAAACTGATCCTCAGGATGCATTCCACTCTAGCCCTCGGCAAAAGACGAGGAGGGGGATTTAACAGAAACTCTTAAAACAATATTTCAGTTGAAGCCACAGCATCAAGGGGGACCCTTGTGCAAATCATTAACAGCTGAAGGTTAGATTAACACGGCACTGATCGTATCCTCTCCGAGGGACTAATTTCATTTTCCACACGAGCACCAGTGGCTTGCAGCGTCCTTAAAACACACGATGGCCAGAGAAATGGCGGTATACCATTTGGTAATTCGTTTGAGAGGAATTACACTTTGGATAATAATTCCAAGTAGGCATGTGGCCTCTGACAAAAGAAGTTGTGGGAATCAAAGTGAAACCAGGAACATATTTTTCCACTTTGCCCTTCATGTAATGGAAATGCTGTAGGCAGACTTTGAGGAAAAACAATGTTTATTTGAGGATCTCAATTTTATTGTTACATAAAATTTGAAATATCCTGAAGATTAGTAGCATACGTACCACATTGACAGAGATAACTACATGCTGTAGCTTTCAAATCTTTATGTAAGGGAAAAATATTAATCATAGACAAGATTATATCTTGTTTACAAGCCTGTTGAACAGACCATCCTGTGTAATAAAAGTCCATCTGTCCTAAGTACCAGATTCTGGGCAGGCCTGCATCTGTTTTGCTCTTCTGGAATCCAGTAGGCAACCCTGCTAGTCAGAATCTAGTCTTGAAGATGTAGACGGATAGTTTCACTTAGCATAGTTAAGTGAATACAGTGCATCACATGCAGATAACCTGCCTTTCTGTGAATCTCCTGCATTGGTGACTATAAAAGAAATTAAACTTAGCAAAAGTTGTACTAAATCTATTTTTTAAACATCTATCTAAAACTTGTGAAATATCCTGCTACTGACTTAAATGCTAACGAGTGAAAAATAATCACATTTTTTTTTCCCCTGCTTGTTTAAGCAGAACTCAATTTCCAATCCTTCATTAGAAAACCGGGACCTCAATTTGTTACTTCCTTCCAATGTTTCTGCTTCCATAAATTGCATCCTCCCCAGAGAAATTTTATTCCCGATATAAATATCTACAGTATGTTTGTTTTTAATGGGTTCATTTATTCTGTTGAAACAGCAGATTATAAATCAAATTGCAAAAGGTCGGAGGGATAATTGAAGTAGGTAAATTTTCAAATAAGTTGGGGACACTCCACTTTTAATACAAGTGGGTCACTGCCAGATTTCACTATGGGGTTAGCTCTGCAATGTTCAGCCGTATATATGCACAGTTTTACCGGCCATGACTGCCATGGAATTTTCCATTCCTGAGAAGAATATTTCAAAAAAAAAAAAAAAAACTAAAGAGGGGGAAATTAAACTTCTTTGAAACACCTCAGACTCCTTGGGGTGGGACTGGATAAAGAAAAATTGTATGCTGGGTTTTTATACTAGACTTTAGAATCAGACACAATACTGTCTTTGGCAACATCAGACTTCTAACAAATGAATGCCTGTCATTTTGGATGATGGCTTTCAAAAACTATTATTCTTTATCCATAACAATAGATAAATGCATTTGAGTAATGTTAGTAAAAATATTTAATAATGATAATAATATATTTATTAACCCAGAAAATTATTAATAGGACATCCCCCATGAAGAAAATAAAATTTAAAGACTTGCTGGTTTGTTAATTATATTTGCTAGGGAGAAAGCCTCATTTCCTCTAAAATTTAACCTTAGAAACCTTAAAAGGCTTTGTTAGTAATTATGAACTTCAGAGATTGCTGTTCAAATAACCTTCCCTAATGAATGCAAACTTCCTTGTGTTTATTAGTCTGGATTTGTATGCTTGTTCAATAGAGTTATTGGATTACTTGCAATAATTTACTTCTTGCACAGTGAAAAATGCAGCAAATTTACTTCTAAATCTACCTCATTGTGTTTATAAAATCTATGATTTTGTGGGTGCAGTAAAGTTAAATTAAATAATTGTTTCATAAACATAATGTTATTTCACAGTAAGTAACAGTACAAATTTTATCTGTCTGCAGAAGGTAGAGGTTGTATTATGTATTTTGTTATTACTGAGCAAAAATTAATATTCCACTAGATGGAGCAAAAGTGGCAGTAGCTTTACAGATAAACAGAGCAAGTTTTTGGGCCAGGCTGAAGAGATTTTGAAATTAATAAATAACAAAATTTCTTGGAAAAACCCATACCTATATAATACAACTATGTTCATTTATAACTTTCTGAAGCTTGTAAGGATATTTGGAATGATCTCATCTAAATATTGATTTATTTTCTGATTTAGGGAACAAGATTTTTGAAAATAAAAATGTCTAATTTACTTTCTTCTACTTTGCATAATCTGGCCAAATCAGATGTTTTACCCAGCTCTAATGATAGTTGTGAAGTAGTATAAACTGGCAGATGTCTGTGAGTCCTGGGTACATAATTTGTACTGCTGAGAGCTGCTTTGAAATTTTAACAGTTTGCAATGAGAGCATTCCATCAAATTTCATTTGTGTGATTAATGATTAAAGCATGAAAGTATTTGAGATCTAGATAATTTTGTGGACCACTCAGCCCAATGTTCTCATATCTGAAAGGGTGAATGGTATGTCCAACATTACCTTTGTATTTTACATTCAAACTGAGAGGACTGTTATAACTAATTAGCTAGTCTAATTAGTAATCTAAATCCCCAAGAAATATTTTGTTCAATTTATTATTTTTAAATCTTAACATTAAAAATTAATTTTATCTTTTTAAAACTCCAGGATCATATTGGAATAGAAATTTAGTCCCTCACTAGATTTTACAGCAACTATATTGAACGAACAAATTTCTAGTGTTGTAAGAAAATGTTATGCAGACACATAAAAAATTAGCTACCTTTAGTTTTCGAAAAGACAGGCCTCAGACCCAAGAGAAAACAGCGATTTGGGAGGGAATTTACAAAACCAAAAGGAAAATGACAAGAGAGCCTCTATACAAGTTGTTTATTTGAGGCTTCTAATGTCTCCTTATATTGAGATCATTTTTTGGTCTTGCATTTCAAACTTAATGAGTAAAAGAGATCTAGTGTTTGGTAGTACCCCTGTACTACGCAATGCTCCGTCTCCACGTGATACAGTGAGCTTACCATATACATACATATTACATGTGTCACCTCCCACAGGATGGGGTTTGCAGAGTTGAGGTTTGAATTCCAGAGTGCAGAGTCATGGACTTGGGGCTGGGGCTGGGGCTGGGGCTGGGAGAAGATGAAGGAATTTGGAAAAGAAAGAGGAAGGCGCTTTGGTTTATGATTCAAGGTCTGGTGGGAACATTTTTGAAAATGTAGGTGCTATTTCCTGCAATCAAGGGCTTTCCAGAGCTTGATAATCATTTCCCAGCTGTATCCCTTTGCCGAATTGTTTTTAGTTGTGGGCAGTCCGTGGCTGTTTTTTCCCATTTAGGATGGAAGAAGATCATATTCATCTTGCTGATAGAAAGCAGGGAATTTAACTCCCACAGCTTCTCCCTTCTTCCCTTCGCCTGGAGGGAAGTTTGGCTTCGTGCTAAAGTGTGAAAAAAAAAAAAGGCCTTGACTGTAGTATGTCAGGCATATTTCAGCTCGATTTGTGTCAGCCCTAATAAGTAAGTTGACAAAGTAATAAATTGGGTGTCTGCTCAAGATCTGGCACCTGTACAGGAAATAGAAAAGTATTTCAAACGCAGGCAGGTTCTCTTTGTTTTACAGAAACGGGAGTTTTCCAGGGACCCTCTTCCTCTTATTGAAGTCATGGGGTCTTAAAATCTATTTTGATTTTGTCACTTAAACCAACAGGAAAGATAATTTTTAAAAAAGCTTCTGAACTGGTGAGACCTTGATAAGGCTGATGATTCTGTTTGCACTGCTCACCTATGTGTCCTCCCTGTCTTGTCTAGTAGTCTCTTACTATGAATTTATTGAATAATTGACTGAATCCATGAATGGATCGGTTTTGGCAATGTGTACTAAAGCCTATATAAAACCCCCTGTAGATTATTTCAATTTTCTGTTGCATTGTCTCAGTTTGAATTTTTCCTTTTTATGGAGTTATCAACTGGGGCAATTTTGCCCCCCAGGAGACATCAAACATTTTGTTGTTACACTTTGGTTGGAGGGCTGTGCCACTGGCATCTAGTGAGCAGAGATCAGGGATGCTGCTGCACAATCGACAATTCACAGGGCAAGCCTTCACAACAAAGAATTATCTGGCCCAAATGGCAATAGTGTCAGGGTTTAGAATCCTTGATTCAGAGAAGTTATTAATAGGGCTTAACCATGTAAAATTGATATTACTTATCATTTTTATCTAAAAGTATGGTAACCATCTACAAATGGGTAATAGGAAACAATTTTAATATTTCATAATCTGTTTCCATAGAACAGACTCCTTCAAAAAAAGAATTATCTTGTTCAAGTGTCAATAATGACACTCAAGAAGCCCTAGTCTAAATAAATAAAAGTTACCAACCAAGATAACATGCTTTAAAATAAAATTTGTTGTATCCCCCTGCTTTGATAAATAGCCTATATGACAAATTGGGGGACCTGAAACAAGGCCTACAAAGGTCCCATAAGCAGGCTTGGGCCACTTTGACAGGAGATTGTGGAGTATCCAGAACATGGCCCAAGCTGTAATGAGAGTTCTGGGCAGGCAGTTCCTTTGGGTTAAGGACTCACATTTAGGGACAAAAATGCTCTTTTCAGCCATATCATTGTTGAAGGTCATTGAGAGGAATGCTGGTTGGCCCAGGAACTGGACCTGGGCAACTGGAGACTTCCTACCCATCTCCTGTCCTTGGATTATACGTTCTGCCTCCTCTTCCCATACCAGCAGCTATTTCAGGATGTAGCCTGGAGAGAGTAAGATGTTGCTGACACCATCTGGACTCAATACCTGACTGAACCTAGTTAAGGCCTCTACACAGACATACCTCATTTTTTTTTTTGCAGTTCACTTTATTGCAGGTGTTGCATATTTTTACAAATTGAAGTCAAGACTCTCCATCAGGAAAAAAGTTATGATTCGCTTTATTGCGGTGGTCTGGGACCAAACCTTCTGTATCTCCAAGCTGTGCATGCCTAAATTTTTGAGATTCTGGCAGGCTAGTGCAGAGATTTACTTGTCTTGCAGTTTGCCCCAGGCAGGCTTTGTATTATAAGTTTTCTTGTTTATTAAACTTGCCACCTACCAATCTGAAGTGGTCTGTCTCTTTCTTCGGTCTCTTGCCCTCTGGGTATGAGGGCCATTTTACAGACCAAAAATAATCTTGAATTTAAAACTGGACTTAAAGATCTAACAATATGCAGTCCTTTCCAAAAGTGTAGTTACTTGGCATTTCTATTAGTTATTTATATTCATGCTGTTGTAAAGTAGCCTACTGTTTTATTTTACAGATTAAATAATAGAAGCACTCAAAATATGAAACAATTTTTAAGTTATTAAATTATAATTAAAGTTATATCATAATTATCAAAATCAAAAGTACATTAAAATTAAAGGCCTGGTCTCCACAGAAGTTGGCTCTGTAAAGGGAAATACTATTAAAATTTTAACAATATACTAATTCAAGCTCTTTCTTCAACTTCTATTTAAAATTAGAATATTTAAGAATCTCCTAATTTTTTTGTGGTTTATAAATAAATCTTTATTAGGTAGAATTATCAATTCATTTTACATATTAATGATTACTAGAAAATCAAAAAGTTAATTCAATCAAATTTATAAAAGCAGTAAGTGGAATAATTATCTTGAGTGGGATCTTAAATTTGATCCCAGAAAATTTAAAGAGAAAATTACCACACTATATAAAATTGAAGCATATTTTGTATACTTTTGAAAGTTCTTAAAATAGAAATTTACAATTTACAGCTTGGTACAATAGATTGTAAGACCTATTCTGCTCTCTGGGTTTTAAAAACAATTGTTTATTTTAACTAGATTCATACACTTTATTTCTAGGGCAATATCATTACCTTATACCTTGAAAGTTGTAAGAAATATTGAAATGCCATTAGTATTCAATTTTTAATATTAAGAGTAACATCTAAAAATCATTAAAAGTATGTGTGTGCTTGTGTGTATGTGTGTGTATGAAATAGAGAGGAAATGAGGGAGAAGCAACTTTAATCTAAAGGTAAATGTTATGGGACTGACATACTTTAAGGCAGTAGGCAATTTGCAGTCCTCTTTTTAAATTGCTATGTATAATTTTTACCTTTTAGACTTCCTTTAAAAAGCACCCTTATTGTGTTCATTAAAATTTAGAACTGACAAGTACAGAAAGTAAGTCGAAGTTTTGTAATGTTTCTGTTTATGGGTTCCATGAAAAGTATTTTTGGAAACTAAGAAAGGAATGGCCTCCTAAATTCCATGAAATTGAGAGTGCAGATGGGTGCCATCCGTGATAACTATGAAACAAAAGGAAACATCATGTGAGTCATGTTGATACTAAGAAAGCTGAGCTTCTCAAAAGACATGATGGAGTAATAGGAAATAATGAAGAAAGGAAAAGGATTTTATTTGTACATATAAATATTAATTTGAAAATATTACGTACACTGCTTTAGTATAATTTTGCATCTAAAATGTAGTATCAACATTGATTGCTTATGAATTTTATTTTTCCAGTCTGTTTTTCAGGAGCATTGAATTGACCAGTTACATTTATATCTGGGAGAACTACAGGCTCATCAGTTTGCCTTGGGATTCTCCATGGACTTGGTATTTAACCTTGTTAGGAGTTGACTTTGGCTACTATTGGTTTCATCGCATGGCCCATGGTAAGTTGCAAACCATGGCTTTATCATACATTTATGTTGAACTGTGTTTGGCAGATGATTGATATTTAGTAAATAGTTATTGAGCTAATGAGTACATAGATAACATAGTTTATTTTACAGCATATAAAGATTAACAATGAAATCTTACTTTGCAAATTAAATGTAAATAATCTGAAGGCACTTTTTAAATTGTGAAATCATTAGAGGCATGTTTTCCATGCTTCTTTTCTCTAATTTATTACAAAAAATACTGTCTAGAAATTGATGACTATAACATTACTTTTTATATATTGCCTTACATTGTTTTTATTATGACGTGCTTGCTGGAGTCTACAGACACTTGCACACAATATCAAACTTCACATCCCAAAGATCCAGGGATAGTCAGAAGGGCTCTGTAATAGCATGGAATCCTAGGTAACGGGTGCTGTTGTACGTAAGCTGGGTTGAAGCTCTTGGCAGCTCCTCCTCATTACAAATGAAAATGCAATCAGCTAGGCATTAACCATAGTGCACGTTAGTGTTACCATAGCTTTGCAAAATTACTCATCTAATTCAAAGCCATTACTGCACTGCTTCTTGGAATTTACTTTTTGGGATTCTTGGCTGCCCCCTCCAAAGAAATATTTCGTTATGGAAAGGGAAATGGAAGTGCAGGAAACGGTCTAAACCTCTGTAGGGATAAGTAGAGGTTGGAGAACGATTGCAGATCTGAGGTGAGCAAGTGGTCTCCAAGGAAGAGTAAGGCGTGCACAAGTATTTCTGAAGGGAAATGAGGGAAAGTGCTAATTTTGAAAAACTACTGAAGAGCAGAACTCAGGATTTCAGTGGGTGGTTGGGTCGAGTGGGTGGGGAGGAAGGAAGGAAGAGGAAGAAACCTGGAATAATAATAAAAAAATAGATGGGAGATGGAAAGAAGAGACCTGAGACCAGGGTGAATAACTGAGCTGCGTGCGTAGGAGTATGTGTGACCAAATATCCTTCCTAAGCAAGAATAAAGGAAATAGGAGTAGAATCCACAGACGTCCGCTTAAGGCCGTTAAAGGTGAAGGGATTGGCCAAAGAACATACATGCATGACCCACAGATACACACAGCTCCGCAGTGATGGCCTGAGGCAAGGACAGGAGGGGGCTGAGTGGAGGAGGGCAAAGGGGGTGGGAAATGAGAACATCTGTAATAGTGTCAAAAATAAAAATAAAGTTAAAAAATAAAAGAAATACAGCATTACTTTTGCTAAAAACTTTAAACATATATTTTATGAAACTATAGTGTTAATTCATTAAAACATTTTAAAGTGAACATGTAAACTAGAAAAAGTGATTTATTTTGTGTGTGATAACTTTTGTCTTTGAAAATAATAGGTCAGCGCCTGACATCATTTCCTTATATTTAAATGCAAGAGAATACTCCCAAACTGAACGTGATTAAGACTAAAATATGGTTTTTGAAGTAAATTTTGTGTTTTATGTTAAAATAGTAATTTTCTCCCTAAAATGAACCCATTGGCAATCTTCCTCACTTTCTGTTCAGCAAATGGGTAATGCAGAAAGCATTTACATTGTATTACTTAATTTCAGGAACCTTCTAATATCACACTGTCCTGTATAGATGTGTTTGTTTGGGAAATCTGCAAATTCGCTTAATTTTTGAAAGCCCATTACAACAGGAAACAAAGAACCAACAAAATATTACCAAATATAAAACTTTAAAAAATATGTTAATTGTAAGTGCTCTCAGGGAAGAGCAATAAAGCAAAATAATATATGAAAAACATGAAATCAAGGCTGTTTAAAGTATGCTTCCCATTAGAAAAAAATTGAAATGAGTCCAGTGGAGGCAGGCATTAAAAGAAAAAACCTTCTGGAAAAACACTCACCACCTTCAGGCTATGAAGACTAATCATAGGTTCAAAGACTTTTGACTTATGATGGAAATCTAGTAGGAAAAAAAAATTATGCAGTTGAATGTGTCCAACTTGAAAATGACAATTTTTAAATTCTATATGATAATATAAAATATTAAAATAGCTTTTTACAAATCTGGTAATAGGGATAAGAAAAACTTATAAAGTCAAATTTCTTAAGCCTCTTGGATTACTAAACTCATACTGGTTAATTTAAATATATTCAACTGAAAAGTCTGAACAATCCTAAAACCCAATGTCTTAAAATATTGTGTAAGAAATAACTCTGCTTCCCTTATTTAACATGTTATTTTTCTTTTACTATTTGCATTCAAATGATATAATAATATATCCTACATTTTTAATATGTTAAATGCTATGAGTTTTGAAGGAATAATATATACTTAAAATGCTGTTTTTTTATGTATTTATGTCACTTCTTTAGTAACCCAAATGATCACGAGGTATTCTTTATTGTTAGTTATTTGATTCATGTACATGGAGAAATTTTTCACATTAAGAGAACAGTTAAGTATTAGTGGAAAAGAATTTATTCTCAAAAACTTGAATTTCATCTTTATTTCTATGCAAAAGAGCAGAGGCATATTTGAGGCTGTATCTGTTACTTATATTTTATTCCCTTTTCTTTGAAATAATGAGAAAGAAATTGCTAATTATCATCAACTTATGCAAAACAAAGAGTAGAATAATAATTTCTAGAGTCTGACAACTTTAGAAAGAAATGTGGAATGATAAAATTAAGTGTCCCTAATTAGAAGTAGCTTTTTGCATGCTTAGTTTATATTATGAAAGGATGCATTATTTTTCTTTAAACTTTCTATTAGTTATATTAAACATGTAAGATAATGAGTAAAGATTTTTTGAGAGGACATTTAAATACAAGTGATTACCACTTTGCAAAAGCAGGAGTAAGCCTTCTAAGTTAAAGATAATAGGCTTTATCTTGCTTTAGGTGGTAGTTACATCTGTGTATTTTTAAAAATTTATTAAGTTGTACACTTAAAGTGTATGTAATTTATCTGCGCCTCAATAAAACGCTAAGTTGTTAAATAATGCTAGTTTGAAGTCAGAATAATGTAATAGATAATCACATTCAGAAAAAAGAACCAAGAAATTAAAATTACCAGCATGCCCGTAATTTTACTGCCTTTCTTCTCCAAATGCTTCTTTGCTATTTCTTGTGTTACCAGGGGTGCATGCTATAGATGTTTCTTCTGTGCCAGCTGATTGATGTTAGGTTTTGCCAATTTAAGGGACTGGAAGGATCCTGTAAGCCAGAACAGCAGGATGGGACTTAGCTTCCATTTTCTAGAACGCTGTTTTCCATGTATCACTTAACAGACTAGTGTTTGGGGAATCTGGTAGCATTTACTTCATGGCTAAACTTCACACTAAACCTTCTGATAAGATCCTGTGTCCTCCGGGGACAAGATCAGGGGACTACCTGTACCCCTCACCCTCTGGGGCCTGCACGCTCTGTCACCAGCAGAGTTGTTGTGGTAGTCACAACCTCTCCAAAGATACCTGACTCTTAGACTTGCAGTGGGAGGCTCTGCCTTGTTCCCTCTCCCTCAGCGCCATAGGGGCAATAGCTGTGTTTTGCCATTGCTGCTTCTGTACACTGAACTACTCAGTTGCTTACCTCTTTTGTAGTTAATAGGAATGTTTTTACTGGTTAATAATTCTTAACTAAACTTACTGAGGTGAAATTGGTTAGTGAAAATTATATAGGCTTCAAGTATACAGTTTTATAATATGTCATCTGTATATTATATCATGTGTTTATCAACAAAAGTCAAATTTCTTTCTGTCACCATATAGTATTTGACTTCCCACACCCTTCCCTCTGGTAATCACCACATTATTGTCTGTGTCTGAGTTTTTCTTTGTCTGTTCGTTCATATCTCACACATGAGTGAAGTTATATGGTTTGACTTTTTCTGTCTGATTTATGTCACTTAGCATGTCATTCTCAAGGTCCATTCATGTTGTCGCAAATGGCAGTATTTCATCTTCTCTTATGGCTGAGTAGTATTCCATTGTCTATATGTACTGCATCTTCTATATCCAATCATCTATCAAAGGATGCTTACGTTTCCATATCTTGTCCTCCATAAATAATGCTGCAGTGAACATAGAGGTATACATATCTTTACGAATAAATGATTTCAGATTTGCAGAAGAGCGGTTGCGCAGTCAGTCCTATGGTAATTCTATCCTTAAGTTTTTGAGGAACTTCCATACTGTTTTCCATAGTGACTGTACTAGTTTTCATTCCCATGTGTAATGAATACAGGTTTCTTTTTCTTCACTCTCTCTCCAACACTTATTATAACTTGTTCTTTATTCAAATTACTGGTGTGGCTCTGTCTCCTAATTCGATCCCACCTGATATAGTCTGCCTCCTCACACATTATATAGTCTTGTAAATTAGAGTTCACCTAACTATATTTATTATTATATTGTGAATTGTTGATTATACATTCAGGCTACAACACAGTTTAGTTCAGTTCTGAAATAAAGGTTTTCCTCTTTAAAATCATTATAATAAACAATCTATAAAATCACCTCAAAACTCTAATTTCTTTTAGTCAACAAATAAACTACTCAGTTTATTTTCTATTCCTCTCTTTCTGTATGTGAACAAGATGGACAGTATCAGTTTTTATGTAATTGGATACAAACACATACTCCAATACTTTATTGTCATTAAGTGAGCTTTGTGTGTGGCTATTAAACTTAATTTTTATGTTGTTTCTGACTTCTGAGGGAGTTAAATTTAGATCACCCTCCTTTCTACCATTGTTTAAACAAAAAACAGAGGCAGATGTATTAATTAGAAATTATTTTATTTTGTGATAATACCAGGGTTGTGTTTTGTATAGAAGAATAGGTTACTTACATCCAGTTACATGTGTATTTTTTAAATACCAGAATATACCTATTTTTATTACTCTTTACCATATATTATGCCACACTCTTTATTTTAGATATAAGAATAACTTATTTCCCTTATATCAAAGCATTTGTCCAAAAATATTATTGCAGAAAGAAAAAACACAAAGGAGCAAAGA